TCGTGACACTGGATTGTTTGGAAATAGAACAGAGTAATTTTATCCAGGGGACTGTGACCGCTGGATGGAATCCACAGTCCAATTGTATCGATGTCGTTGAAGCGGCTTTGATAGATTGTTTTATTTTGGTTTTGGTTTTTTCTTCGAACGTGCGCGGCTTTGATGGTTTCCTTTGTTTCAGCCCTTAGTTGTCGAACTGCCGTACACTATTTCGGACGATCCATGGCATATTTTGTCCTGGTGGCGGCATCTACACTAGTGTACACGTATGTTCTTTCAGAAATACCGTCAAAATCTTGATATAACAGAACAAGACAGGCGGGACGGGCAGTTTTTTCCCAGTTATAAGCGAGTCATGTTATAACCGTTATCATGGGAAACTAACTACCATTGCACCTTCAGTTTATATGAATGTGTATTCGATTACCGCAGATCCTTTTCCAGTGGGCTGTTTTGCTGACACTGAGACGGTATGTGTTTGGATGTTTGTGTTTAGGCAAGCGATCATACAAACAGGCGATTTTTTGTCATGTCTTGGTTGAGACAAATTTTAATAATTTGACGGATCGAAAGCAAGTTCATGCGCTGCAAGATCACTGTTATCTCTGCGTCTGCGCAAATTGAACCCTGTTATGGCCTGTAATAAAAGAGGCTGGTATACATGGACCGGACTATATTATGGTCGTTTTGTGAAGACTTTTCGGAACGTATCCTTGTTGGTAAAATTTTAGTTTGCCTTTTTAGGCGTGAGTCAATGTGTCTTGATAAATCTTCAACGGGTGATTGGAGGGTAGTAGTAGTGGTAGGTCCTATTTCTGTTCTTTTTCTACCTCTGTTTGATTATTCGTCTGTCTGATTTTCTTTTCCTTTTTTCCATACACCGAATGACCGTTATTGAATTGTGTCGATGTCTGTCTCTCTACTCAAACACAGACCAGTTGTGCGGATTTCGCATTATGTCCTTTGTTGATGAACTGATGAAGAACGTTTGAGGCCGGCATACCGTGGGTGTCGTTTTTCTCATTGCTACAATGTGTCTGGCCGAGAACCCCCTTTTTTTTCAAGGTCAATGCCCTAGAGGCTGTACGTCTGCCGACAGTTTTTTTGTTTTTTGGTGTGTTTTTTTTTAATGATCAACTCGCCTGGCCTAGAATGAGGAAGATCAAATGATGAGGCCTGTGGTTCTGTTGACGGGCTGTGTTGACTGTGTTTGTTTGGCGGATCTCAAGACGTTGACGCAGCAAATACACACAGGCCTCCGGGGGGCAAATGGTTGCGGGCCAGGTGGGATCAGTTTCTCTGGTCCCGGTGCGTCATCAGTGGCGGCAATAAAACTGGCGGCTGTCGTGTCTGCGGGGGAAATTTGAGCCAGTGCTCTCGACAATCTCTCGTGCAGGAGGACGTCTGGGAGTTATGATCGTTGAAATCTTTTCTTTTTGTGTCATTGTGGTTTTCTAACTTTGAGGTTTTCGCTATTATAAGTATAAGTGTGGTGAAATCGTTGCTTGAATTCACAGTAGTAGTAACCGGAATGTGTTTCTTGCCGTTTTCCTGAGAGATATTTCTTTTGTTGGAAGAAAGGGAGGAAGCTTCTACTTCTATTGCTTTTAACATTACTCACTTGATATGGAACAGTTTCTATGCGTGGTGAGCTAATAAGTGTTGGGAGTAGGTAAAAACCTTCTTATCGCAGACGAGAGATTCTATGAACTATGCTTCTGCATAACGGTGGCTGTTTTTCCCATACGACCCACACCCACCCCATGGGCCAGCTTGACCCAGCCTTCTACCCATACCACCAGGCCCTGCCTCAGCCCATAGTTCCGTGTGAGGAGTACTTCAGCCTACTGCGGACCCCGTCAGTGTCTTCTATACCCAACCAACATGCCGCGGTGTTCCCTGGATTCGAACCTCCACCCTCGCAAAATTATGGCTGCCCGTGTCCCTCTGTGCCGCCACAGCAAACTTTTCTGCACCAAATTCTGACAGGGCAAGGTTACAGGCACAATGCCATGGGGGTCACGTGCGCCCCCTCGCTGATGGATTCTGCCACCATCTACTCAGAGTATTCCCCGGCTTGTGAAAAGTCGAGCTGTTGCTACGGAAACGCTGTCAAGCCTTCAGGATTTTCATCTATACAAGGGCATTCCTAGCATTAGCTGTTGTCTTCCAGTGTGGGTTTGGTGCATTGCAACTAATTTTTTGTTCTCTCTTTCTTTCTTTGTTTCTTTCTCTTTTTTTGAAAAAAATATTGTGTAAATAAGTATAAGTTTGAAATCATAGCAAGTGACTGGAGGGTGCCAGCGAATGTCATTCTGTTTGATTAGGTGGGTTACTTTTGTTTTAAATTATCTCACATCACAGATGGTTGGAGGGTGCTTCTCATAGATCCTTTTGCGTTACTTTCTCTTTATTGTTTGTTCCCAAGTCCATCTTGTTTTTCCGTAGCACTGTAGAAGAGTTACTCACTTACTGTGTTGGTGTCCTTCCCTTTGCTCAAGAAAAAACAAACCAAACTCACAGTCCACTTGAAACATAATCTGCTGGTCAGCCAGATTTTCTCTGGTTTAGCCAGGTTTTTGGTTTAAAGATGTTACTCTAATAGGGGGGAAATCG